TGTGCTGTGAGAATAAAGAAAAGAATTGTTGGCGTTAAATTTCAAACTTAACTCTGGTTAGATATCAACTTTTAAAAATAATCGTATGAATTATCTGAATTAAATTTTAAGTTCAAATATAAGTAATTTTATCCTAATACTTGTTAATTACCTGCAAATCATATCAGATAAGAGTAATCAAGATAGCAGGTGAAGATGATGAATTGACTGCTGTTAATTTCATCAATCATCGAGGCCAACTGCATATAAGCTGCAGTAAGAACCGAAACCCCTACCCTTAAAATGTGATCAGTACCTCAAAAGCATTCCTCCAATTAAATTTCCCTTGCTGATGATCTTCTATGCAACTATAACTAATCACCAATTCAATCATTTTCTGAATGTCTGTCTCAATTGCTTTACACCATGAAGCAGTTTAGCTTAGGTGCTGTAATCAGCAGCAGCAGACACACCTTTGATGTTTGGGTGTCCATGGACACTCTTAAAAATTGAAAAATATAGAAGTTTTAAGGAAAAATTTCAACTGAATACCTCAAATTTTCTCATGAACACCTCTTTCGTTAACAAAATTAATAAATTTCATCAATAAAATTGATAAATTCATCTATAGATTTTTTTTATATATTATAAGTGAATTCTCCAAAAAATTTTCTAAATCCGTCATTATTCATCGACACATCCCCAAGCTGGGATGGAATCTGCATCTGACAAATGAAAGGGGACACTTTTTACTTTAATTTGTCGCAGATGGAAAAATCTTCCAGGCTATAAGCACTGAGATTAGCAATTTAGCATAAGCAGAAGGACATGATTATAGTCATATCTTTGTTGTTGTTCACCTGATATAATTCTAACATTTAACAACTCATCTCAATATAATTAGATCAATAATCCTGGTGCTAATTATAGAGAGCATCCTGTTGGAGAGCATCAATGTGATCCACAAGATTTCTCTTTAGAAAATCCTAGCTGGGACGACTGAATTATGTTTCCTACACATCCTGGAAAAGATGAACAATCGGCTGAAACTAGAGTTGAAACGGGGAGAAAGCACTCAGGAGTCAGGACCAAAATATGGAAGCGAATACACAAGAAAAGGCTCCAACTTTGTTTTAAAAAAAAGTGGAATTGCACGCAAAAGAGAAAGAAGCTCATAAAAGTCACAAACGAAAATGCTTTCTCAATGGAAAGACAAATGAATAATTGAAAGGGGCTCCACTCTGTTTGGCTTCAAAGCCTGCCATGAATTGGATAATGTAGCAAAGCAAGCAATGGAGGAGGATAATTCTCGCACTAAAGGGGGCCAACATTGTCAAGTGCCTTCTTTGTTTCCTGGCCATGCTTCTTTGGTGGACCGGGGAAGGAAGAAACAACAAAGCCTTGTCTGCCAAAAGGCTTGACAACCTGCACAAGCACAGGTCTATTGAGTGGGAATGCACGTAAATGTAGAATTATAGAAACTATCGGGCAACAGGGGTTTGTTTTTCATTGTTGCCCCCATCTTTTTATGAGTCAGGCTGTTGCAACATTCTGGTCTAATTGTCTGATTGAACATCTGTATGAGAAAGAGACCATGACTGCATGTGCCCTGTGACTAAGTCAACCCAACCGGACATGAATCTGCAAAACAACCATAAAAATTTGTAGATTAAAGCCGGAATGCTATTTGCCCAAATAATTTGAAGTAAAATACAAGTCTGCTCAGATCTCTCATTGTTTTTTCCTCATCTCTTCACCTACCCTTAAGTACTCTACTCGAATCAGCCCACCTGAGTTCTACACTGTTTCAGTTTTTGGCTTTATTAATCTAAAAGCATTTGTTTGAACTTAGTCATAAATCTGTTTAGGATCGACTTTGTTATGGTTATCCTTAACGAGACATAAGCCTATACTGCTCAGATCTTGAGAAACTGAACATGGTCTCCATGGTCCACTCCATTCGACTGTGTCACCAATGGGCTTGTTAGCCCAAACATTTGATAGTAAAGGCGGCGCTATTGAACTTGGGTTGATCAAGCATTCATTGTATTTGTACTTATCACTACTGGCCCAAATGCCCTGAAATGTAGCCTATATAAACGAACTAATGCTGTCGCTATATTGTTAGAAAATTGAGAAGAATGGGAATCCTAGGTTTTAAATAGTAGTCCTTTAAAGGAATAGTGGTCAGTATTTAGCGGTAGCATACTTTTCGTCATTGTTATTTATCGCAATAGAGAGTGCACGGTCATTTATAAGTGTAACGGCTTTAGCGTAAATCGCGACATAATGAAAAATAACTATTATAACAGAACGCTGAAGCTGTTACTATTGTTTGTATTTATAGCTCCATACTAAAAGAAAAAAAAAAATCCACTTTATATCCAGTCAATTCAATCAAATTAAATTAATTTAAATCCATCATCAATATAAGAAGATAAAATTGATTCAAAGTAATAAAATAAATATTCACTAAAAATTGCCAATTTTCTTCATATGTTTTAACATTTTAGTTGGGGATGGTCATGAGAGAGTGTCATATTATGGCTTCTGTGGGTGTTGGCTTCAGGTCTGTTATCATCTCCGATCTTTACTCTTGAAAGATATAGATAAGTGAGATTTTATAGTGGAAATCTTGAGAAAGAGATTTTGATGATATAAAAGAAGCATAAGAGTGGTTTGTTTGGGTCGGGTCATGGTGTTTCTATTGGAGAAGAAAAATGGAAATAACCATGGGAAAATCAGAGATGGGGGAGGGAGGAAAGAAGCATACGGGAGGTTGCTCATTTATGACACGAAATCAAAAGTGGTTTTTGACTTTTGTTGCTTAGGTAAAAATGTAAAGAGAGAAAGACAAATGGACGGTGAAAATTTGATATTTTAATAATTTTTTTTATAATTTAAATGAAAATTAAAGGGTAATTGAGTTGTTAATTATTTTAAAAGGTTTAAGAAAGCAAATTTGGAAATAGGAAAATTTGAAAGGCTTGTCATTTGTGGGTTTTTAAAAGTTAAAATTAATTTTTTATGTTCTCTTTCTTTAGATAAAAATTTTGAAAAGGAAAAAAAAAAAGAGAAAAAGACACAAGATTTGTGAGAAATGGGCATTTGAAAAATATTTTTGAATATTTGAGAGGGAAATATTCACAATAAATAATGAATTTTATTTTCATAAGTTTAATATATGTTTTATTCTCATTTAAAAATATTAATCTTAAATGATTAAAATTTGGTATTACTTATATTATTTTAATTGTTTTTATATGTTTTGTGTTTGATTTAAGTTAGATTGAGAAGTATCTTATTAATTAAATATTAAAACTTTCGGTTATTATTTTTCTAATTAATTTAAAATTAATGACCTTAATTTTATATATTTAAAAAATATAATTTCACTTATAAAATTAATATTTTAATCTCATGTATTTATATTTGTCATGATTATAAAATTTATGGATATGTATATTGAACATTTTTAAATATACATATTACCGAAATATATTAAAAAAATAATAATTTATTTTATTATATAAATAAATAATTTAAAATGTCATGAATTATTTTAGATAATATAATATAAGAGTTTTCATAAATAAAATTATTATTTTCTCAAATTTGATAAGTTGTGCAACAATAAAAAAATTTACAATATAATAAATGTGATGATCATTATTTCTTTGGTTATATCCGAAATTATGATAAACGGTTCTTAGTCAAAAACTTAACTGCTACTGCAATTTAAAACCGCAGGAAGCAGATTTGCAAAGAGCAAACCGGGCGCAGCAATGAAACTTGAAAATGAAAACATTGAAAGTCCAAGTCCACGCCGAAAAGCATGTTTTTGATAGATCATAATCACGAGAAATATATAGCACATCATATTTTCGTTTTGACGGTTACAGCTCCAGAGAAGTGGGAGTTCACAAGTTTACGCAAACGACAACAGGCAGTGAATTTGTCAACTCACATATCAGGAGTCAGCGGCAAAAAGTTGATGTCTTAAGCCAGAATTTGGATGAACCCATTTTGTGCATACGTGTGGTTCCTCGGTTTATACGACATCTTCATTGTTACATCGATATCCCATTTGTGAATTGTCCCCTTGTAGCTTGGAGTAACCAGCCAGCGGCAAAATGAAATTACTCAAAAACCCTCTACCCTTCTAAACCCTGCCTTATTTTGATCAAAGCTTTCTATTTTTGTGTTTCACGATGTCATCTTTGTCTAGATTCGTTGTCAAAGATTACAATTTGCAAACATATGATGCTATATGTAGAAGACCCTTGTATTTGATTCCTGCTAGAAGGCTACAGGCAGCTCATCTGGGTATGTTTTATTTTTGTTCGTGTTTTATTTATTGCTTTTTGGGTTGTCTATAGTCACTTGTTTATCACATGGGTTTATTTGTGATTTCTGTGCTTTATATGAATGTTCAGATGTTAGAGCTGGAATATCTGTGACTGAGAATGGGATAGGTTGGGCAATCCAACGCAAGCCAAGTAGTCCCCTAGTTGCTCTTGCGGCCCCTTCCTCCATCATTCCTGCTTCAAGGTACTTTCTGAGAACAAAGTGTTTGATTTAATTGAATTTCTTTCATACAAAGCTCGAGAATGCATGTTTCAGTGTTAAATTCATTACTTTGACCCTGAGAAAGAAGCAAAGCTAGCTAATTTGATCTGATAATTACAGGGGTGACTGTTTAAAAAAAATGTTTAGAGCGCATGTTGTTTTATACTTTTTTGGCTAGGGAGGAAAGAATAGTAAAATTGGTTGCCTGCAAGAACCTTGCAAGGTGGCTAGTTTGTTTTTGTTGTATAAATAAGGTTCTGTAACCCCTGGTCCCAAGTTTGTTTCACTATCTCATACAAATTGGTGAATCCAGTTCTCTATCCCAACATTAACTTGCTTGTTTCTGCTACTTGGATACCTGAACTTAGATTACCCTGTTCCTTTGGTCTTATTGCCCCTTTACCAATGACTACTCCTGGCTTTGGTACCTGTTGTATCTCATTTTCAGCTCCAATATTCATGGATTTGGGTTCTAATGTGAGGCACTGTCAGATTTTTTTTTCTAACGTATCAAACCCACTATTTGTTGATGTATGAATTCCCATTTTGTGCATTTTTAGAGTCCTTAAGAATGATTTGATCTCTATATCCAGGAATTCCAGAGTTGTGTGCAAGGCTGCAGCAAATGTATCCGGAGATTTTCCTACGCCAAGTGGGATGAACCAGTACGAAAGAATGATTGAAACTTTGACAACTCTTTTCCCTGTGTGGGTGTGTGTTCGATTTTGTTAGTGTATTTAATAAAACTCCAGCTGATATTTTTATCTTTAATTTTACATTATAACTTTGATTTAATGAACAGGTTATTCTGGGAACTATTATTGGTATCTACAAGCCAGCTGCGGTAATTTTCAGGCCTCTCTGCTTTTAGTGAATGCTGATTCAAATTTTGCTTAGTTACCTAACCATTTATTCCCTCTTAAAGGTAACATGGTTAGAGACAGATCTTTTCACCATTGGCCTAGGTTTCCTCATGCTTTCAATGGGATTAACATTAACCTTTGAGGATTTCAGACGCTGTCTACGGAACCCATGGACTGTAAGGCAAAATATTCACATGAGTTAGTAGACTGCTGATAAAACAAAAATGATCCTGTTTTAGTGTTTACATGGTTAAGAGCATTAGTTTCCAATTTTGCAGGTAGGTGTAGGATTTCTTGCTCAATACCTAGTCAAGCCTATGCTAGGATTTGCTATTGCAATGGTAATTCAAAATTTGCCTTTGCATCAATACCCTCATTTCTGGCTGGTTGAGTTCTACTTATCGTGGAAATAGAATTCATCATCATAACAAGAAGACATGAGACTTTACTTCAAAAAATGATGTCCCTTGTATTATTTTATTTGAGTTATAGAATACTGGTAAAAATTTTTGTGATATTAATAGATTGAGAAATCTCCCAATAAAGAGGTTGGATGAAGACTGCAGAAAATATGATATATGTGGTCCAAATTTGGCTTTTGAAATGAAAGTCAATGTAATTTAGATTGCACTATGTAGAATGTGATTCATCATCATTATAGGGCCTTCTAGTAGGCTCGTATGAATAAATGAGTGCTGAACAATATCTATGTGATTTTCAGACTCTGAAACTTTCTGCTCCACTTGCAACTGGTCTTATTTTGGTCTCATGCTGCCCTGGTGGTCAGGCGTTAAATGTTGCAACCTATATATCTAGGGGGAATGTAGCACTCTCTGTTCTCATGACAACGTAAGATCAAACTGCATCCACCCATCTAAATGCTTTTTATTGATAGAGTAGTCTTATGATCTTTTAAATACATAATAAACCTTTTGTAACTTTTCATTTGATATCCCTTAAGTTTAACTTTGTTTCCAAAATTTGTTTCTTCTCTCTATCTCTCTCTCTCCCTCCCCCCTAAGGGAAAGGTGTAAAAACTAAATAAAAACTATCTTTTGACTATGAAGGTCTTTGGCAGATGTTAATTCAACAAAAATTCATTTGTGTATCCGGCTTTTGTTTCACTTATGTTTCTAAGGTAGAGGAATCGAGATTAGCGTAGAACTAGCTAGAGTTTATAGATGTTTGTGGGAAAAAAATAGCCTTAGTATGATGATATTTCAGTAGGGTATTTCAGATATTTTTACCAGAGAAAAAGGAATTATGTGCATCATGGTTATGAGAAGAAGTATAAGATTATTAGCAATGAAGAAAATTTTCTTGATGTTTTTAGGCTCCATTTGGTAAACATCGAGATTGCTAGTAATCGATGGTTCTATTTTCAAACAATATAGAACTGCATGATAAATATCTGGAGTATATGATGATGACCTAGTTTTTATTTGGCTATACTTTAAGCTGCATGGCTGAAATGATAGCTAATAGGACAACTTACATCAAATATGCATTACCTTTGTATTTAAGCTTTATAACTTATGAAGTAAAATATTTAGAACACTTTCAATATTTCTGAAACTTGAAATTAAACAACTTTCAAGCTCCCCAATTTCTTCTGGAATTTTTGCAGATGTTCAACTATTGGAGCAATAGTTATGACACCCCTCCTCACGAAGCTTCTTGCCGGTCAGCTTGTTCCTGTTGATGCTGCGGTATGTTTATTCTTATTTTTTGTTTGCCTTTATGGATAGTAATTGGCAAATACATGAAGCATGAGACAACTGACGATGTAGAAGTCAAAGTAGTCAATATCTCTTGCTTTATTATGGTGACTGACGTACACAGTAATGGGACCAGCCTCTTTGGTTTCTCTTCCAAATTTTTTGGACTGATTCATCCGTCGAAACTTTAAGGCGAAACAAATCAGGTGGATGCAAAAGAAATTTAGAAAATATCTACACCTTATTACATAATAGTGGTGATAGATTAGGTAAACAAAATAGTGATGATAGAAATTGTAGAACCTAAGTGAGAGGTACAGTATAAGATCTCAAAGTGACATCTACGTAAATTTAAAGTATATAACCTTCATTTAGGTGATTCCACTAATGTAAAGATTTTTTTTCCAAAAATCTTTGTAGGGTCTTGCTATCAGCACTTTTCAGGTTGTGTTAGTACCAACAATTGTTGGAGGTGACAAACGATTATTGTTCTTATCTGTTATTATTGGTTGCACTTCAATTGTCATGAAGTCTAAGGAATCTTGACATACAATCATATGATTCTAATGTCTTCTTTGTGGGAGTCTTGTTCAATGAATTCTTTCCCAAATTCACTTCAAAAATAATCTCAGTAACTCCACTAATTGGAGTTATTCTCACTACTCTACTTTGTACAAGCCCTGTAAGTTCTGAGGATTTTTCGTGAAGTATATTTACAATATCTTAAACTTTAATATTCACGTTATGCGCTCCCGTTGAAAGCTTCTTTCCACGTAAAGAATTAACATAGATGTCGTTTTAATACTAAGATTGGCCAAGTATCTGAAGTCTTGAAAGCCCAAGGAGCTCAGCTAATATCGCCTGTAGCTCTCCTACATGCTGTCGCATTTGCCCTTGGTTACTGGATTTCAAAAATATCATTTGGTGAATCCACTTCTCGGACCATATCCATTGAATGTGGTATGCAGGTAGGTGTTTCTTCATTACTATCAAGACATTAGATTTCTTAAACTTTTTGACGTTTAACATTTTCATGAATGATTATTATGTTATATCTGTGATGATATTGGGGATGATAAATGCTCGATATCTTCGTTATACAAAACCCTTTATAATCACAACATTAGAACTGCTATCTTTGACGAGTGCTACTGTCCTTGTGCATAAGCAAGACATAACTCGCATGACCAATTCATGAAGCAGCTTTTCGGATGGTACATTCTTCTGTTTTAAATCTCTAATGTATCATATTCTTTCTCAGAGGATTCTGTGTCATTTTATCTGGACAATTTCTTAAGCATCTGTTATTTTGTCATTTGCACCTGATATGCTTGGTTTTTTTTTTCCCTGCATTCACGGTCATCTAAAAGAGAAGGAAAAAGTTTTACAGTCCTGAAAATAACTCAGTATCTCATGGCTCCAAACTTGGTGCAATTTACCAGATATTATTAAATGTGCTACAGTTTCCTGTCCATCTATTCCGCTTTCACTATTCGTGGAGCTTTCGTGATTAGACATTCCCTATTGCATGTCCCTTGGTGACTTTGTCATGTCGACTTCATCAAATATGCTGTTATTCACCCGCTAACAAATGTGATTGGTGATGCTGTTATTCTGTTTTATGTAGAGCTCTGCACTTGGTTTCTTGCTTGCCCAGAAACATTTTACCAATCCCCTAGTCGCTGTTCCTTCTGCAGTTAGTGTGGTTTGCATGGCGGTATGACACTTTTTGCTCTCTGGTTCTATTTACTTCCTACAAACCTTGACTTCTTTTCAACTTCTTGCAGCTTGGTGGGAGTGCTCTTGCTGTGTATTGGAGGAACAGACCACTTCCTGTGGATGACAAGGATGATTTTAAAGAATGACAAGTTTTCACCAATATTCTTTTCTTGTATCTTTTGATCTTAGAGATTTTTTTTTTCCATTTTTTTGTAGGAAAGTCAGTTGTTGGATAGGATGAATTTTAGTAGAAATAAAAGAAATATAAGTGACTATAATCTTAAGTTTGTGTATTGAGCTTAGTTCAAACTCGAAGTTCAAGTTTGATTCGAACATATTCGAACATTGAATTTAATTAAATATTTATTACTTTTACTTGAATATAATTAAAAATTTAATTTGATTTTGTTTGAATCTCAATTATTATTAAGTCAAATTTGAATTTAGTTAAGTTCGAATTTAAATAGATTCGATTAACTTATTTGAAAATTACTAATATATTGGTTTTTTTATTGTTGAGTAAATTATATAAATATATTTTATAATTAAACGTGATATGAGTTTATCGTATAAAAGTTAAAAAGTGACATTTAATCACTTTAAAATGTGTATCCGTGTTAGTATTTTTTGGATCCTGTCATAAAATGATAAGAACACTCTTATTGTTACAAAATTCATGATTTGTTTTCGAAACATTCGAAATAGAAAGCAAAATTTTGTTACTTATAATCAAATCATCTTATTTTAAAGTAATCAAATGTTTTCACTAAAATATCAAAACAAAAAACCTTTCAATTTTGATTAAAAAAAGTTTTTTGAGGTGAAGATTTAGGCAAAAATCAATAGAAAATTTGTTGAAACGGTGGTGGTCGAAGTACTTTAGACATCATTCGACAAAGAGCAAGGCATGATTACTGAATATTGAGCAAACTTTTACAATTTAGGTATGTGCAATTTTTATTTTCAGTTCATTAAAATTAGTTGAAATATTTCGTTTAGAGTTTATTAAATTTAAGAAATTTAGATTTTTATATTATGAATAATTAAAATATAGATATGTTATATAATTTTTATATACGAGTTATTTTTATCAAGTTTAAATAGCTTAGAATACATTACGATATAATAGTTTTATTGATATTGTAATGTAAGTAATAACTAAGCATTCGTGAGAAATCTAAAAATGTTTGCACTTTAAAACTGAAAATATTCTAATTTGCACAAAAATAAAGAAAAAAATTGCAAATAAAATGCCTAAGGAAAGGGATGATGATAGCTAAGAGTAGTGTTGCAATTTTAGTTTTTTACTGTCAACACTGGTTAAATATACATTTTTAAAATAGACTTCAAAATTACGTAAAATAAGAATTTGTTTTTACATACGTGAAACGGGAATAAAACACTTGAATTTTATCTTGGTGGGTCATTTGTCTGTATTCCTCACAAGCTCTGGGAAGGGCGGGATGTTGCACGAGTTGATCATTTTCCCTGATTATCATTTTTTCAACTGCAAGAGTGGGTTATCATGTTTTTCAGCTGTTGTGGGTATATTGCTTTGTACTGCCAATGTTCCATAAGAGATGCATTGCTGTGCTTAATTTCTTTCCAGTTTTTCCTATTCAAACGACTGATTATAGTTATGCTTATGACCTGGAATGACGGCGTTCGCAAGACTCTGGAACATGATCGAGAACAAGACATTGACACTAAATGCAGATGAGAAGCTAGTCTCTGCCTTGGCGGTATCCAATGTCACTGGCATGGTAAACTCAGCTAGTCATGACAAGTTTGTGAAACTCTGGAAGTGATCGACCCCGGTTTTCTCGACTTTTCTGTCGATGGGCGTAGTCTCTTCACTATATGTATATGCAGATAACAAGGTTTTCTGACAGGTCTGTTGTACTTGTTCTGCAATTCTTGTCAATAGTTTCAAAAGGAAAAGGGGTTTTACATTTTCTCCACCAAAAATGTCATCCTAACCTAGCCTCGGTTAATTTTGAGGTTTCATACCTTTTATCAAAGTTATTATTGTTCATCAAACCGAAATACAATGAATATAAAATTTAATTTAATTAATTTATGTGGTCATTTTTTAAAAATAATATTTAAATAATTTAGATATCTATAATTATTTCTTTTTATCTCCAAGTCATTATTTTTTCTATAAAAAAATTAAATATAATGAAAAATGATATTGATTTGAACTAAATCGAATATATGTATTATTTTATCGTACTTAAAAGAAGTTTTGGACAATTTCCCTTCAATTCTTTAACCATCTCAATTCAGTTGAAACATTTCACAGTACTAAAATTGTAGGATGACAAAGTTATTTCCTTCCTGTGGTTTTAGCTAGTGCCAAAATGTAAATTCAAAGACGAATTGACTCAAGTGCCTTGTTAAAATGTTTTGACTTGGCTTCAAGATACTCCTTCCATGTCACCGGGCGATATAGTGGGGGATGAGCATGGTCGATCAACTTCCTCAATGCTGAGACCTTGACATCCCGTGGTGGCCCGTAAAAGTATGCTGTCGACACTCGGTGGTGCGTGTTGTTCACAACTGCACGATGCAACACAGGCTTGAACTTGCCATTGGAGACGATATGCATCAAATCACCAACATTGACCACCAAGGCGCCCTCAACCGGCTCCACTGCCACCCACCCTGCACCATCTCTGTAGACTTGGAGGCCACTAACCCAGCTTTGGTAAAGCAAAGTGAGCAGAGATGAATCTGTATGAGGGGCTAAGCCCATGGCTCGGCCTGGGTCCGGGCACACTGGATAGGAGTTCAGTTGAAGAACACATGTGGTTTGGTCACAACCATTTTTGGGCTCAAACCATTTCACATCTTCATGGGTTAAGCCCAAGGAGCTAAGCATTGCTGCCACTATTTTCTCGCTTAATCCTTTCATCTTCGCCTGGTATTGTTCCATTACCTCGCTGCACGAAACCAAAATCACAAACAAATCATGCCATAAATATTTATTCTATCTGAAAACAGACAAAAAAAAAAGATTTTACAAATAGAAAATGAAAAGAATAAAGACAAATTATTCAGACTAATAAAACAAGAAACATATCAAAGACAACCAGTGAAATATTGCAGAAGCCTTAAAGCTTCATTATTCGCAAAGTGTATCTCCAACAAAATAACACACATAAAATATATACAAAAAAGAAAAAAAAAACTTGTTGGTTTTGTCCAATTGTGTCCTGAAGGCAAACTTCTCTTCTTTTTTTTTTTTTCAGGATTTCTTTTAGTTTTGATGACAAGGATTATTCCATCTCAGCTGTCAGCCATGGAGGGATGCCAGGGTCACAAAAATCTTACTAGCACAAATTAACAATTTTGCTAATGCATATGAAGCGGTGGAGAGGAAAATGTGAATTTAAAAATTACCTTTGAGAATTGGCAACAAGATAATTACTAGTAGTAGTTCTTATTTTCTTTTCTTGCCTCTGGTATTCTTAATAGTGGTATGTATATAGAGAAGCAAATTAATTGATGCTTAATTACTGCTTTAGGTTTAAGCAGCTAAAAAATAGAGATTCAATAACGAAGCAAATGAAATTTCAGTACAATATTTAATTTAATTAATTCGAACAATCATTTTTAAGAGATAACATCTAATAAAATCTGTAATTCAAATATTAATACTTATAATTTTTTTTTTATGCTCATATTGCGATTTTTCCTAAATTATATATATAAATTATGAGCTAGTTGGAGTTTACGTGAAAAGAATTGTATAAATAATGCACGAATTTTTTCCTAAGTTTTCTGCCACCATTCACAACATGTTTCCTTTGATAGTAACGAAATTCCATACAACCCACATTCACCGAGCCATCCACTTTTTGTTTTGTTTTGTTCTTTTTTTGGCCATTTATAGCCAAACCATCCCTTATATTCCACCACAACATATTAATAGTGATATTCTTCCGTCTGGATTTAAATTAGGGTTTCGTTAAGAAACTTAAAATGAACATATATATATATATATATATATATATATGGATAAAAATTTAGGAATAATTCTTAAGTGCAATTCATTTGAGTTTTTAATAAATAAAATAAAATAAAATATTAACATATCAGTTTGTTAAATAGACAAAGCATATCAAAATTTTAAATGATGTTTTAATACTTTATTTAAATAGACATTGTTGTGAAATGTACCCAAAATAATTAAGACATTGTGAAAATTATGACGAAAATTTCACAAATATAATAATTACTAGTTAAATCTTGTGTAAAATTTTTAGAGATATTAACTTGCATTCATGTACTAATAATTATGTAAAATTGAATCATTTGTGATGAAAAAATGAAAGAGAGAAGACAAAATATAAAAATAATAATATTTTTTTATAATTAAATTGATTATTAAGAATTAAAATAGATTCGAAATTTAATTTTCAAATCAATATTATTTGGTTGCTCTATTTGTATGCATATTTTACCCGTTATCAGAATTTTTTTCAATTTAATTTTTATTTAATATTTTTAATAAAAAATTTCATTTAAGAAACTTTATTTAAGCCTTTTCTTCGAAAGATATATGAACCACAATTTTTGTAATCGTGACAGCCGAGCATGCAGAATGCACGTACCAGAATTTGGAATGATCTTCAGGCCAAAGTTGGCTAGCATGTTCCACTGGGGACCCTATAATGGAGAAACCCTCTGACCACATCAGCTTGGGAAAGAAGGGGGAGATGCGGGGCAAGCCATACCCGGTGAAGCCCTCCGGTGACCGAACAGCCAGTAGCTTGCGTTCCGCGGGCAGCGAGAACAGCCGCCGAGTTTGACACTCAATTTCATAAAAGAAACTAACGGGAATGCCATGGTTGGTGACTTGAAACACTCCCCATTTCTCACAGGCATGTCTTACGAGGTTAAACACATCCGGTTTGGCAAGGTCAATGATGGGCAAAGGTTCTTCGGTAAAAGGGTCAATCAACTGGTGATCATCAATAGGCAAGGTCGTCTTCCATGCATGGGAATCTGGTAGTTTAGGGACATTGTTGAAGTCTAATGGAACGACATGTTTGGGATGGGAAGGGCTGCATTTGAAGGTTTGGGATGATGGGATTGATTCCATGGTCGGATTTATTTCATATGCAAAAAACAGGAGAAATTTGTTGGTGAAGTGAGGATGGTTTGTAAGTTAGTGGCATACATAGACAGGACAGAGACAGGGGCTTGTTTGACTGTTGTCTTGCTTGAATTGTCTATATGCTAAGTTGATATTGCTATCGGTAAGTGCAAGCCCAACACCTGTAGGGAGCAAATGTAGGGTATGGAACTTTTTTTGTCTTT